CTTGTTTATAGAGGACACCCCTCCTTGTAAGTAAGGGTAACCTGGGGCGTCGTGAAAGTAACAGTGGAATTCGCTTCATAAAATAGGGGAAGCTGAAATGGGATATTCTTTTTCGAGACAAACCTGGGAAGGTCATTAGAGTGTCGTGCCAGTGAAGTTGTAATAAGCATCTAATTGTTTGTTGACGTGGTATGTGAACCCGTCCGTAATTGATCCAAATGGTCTTTGCTAGTCAAACAATTTCTGTTTGAAACACGTTCACTCCAAGCTAACTTGACAGTGATCTTGCAATCACTAGATTTTAAGAAAATCCTAAGAAAGTCATCAATGAGTGACATTCAATAAGCGCTTCCGCTAATTTGAAACTCATTGAAATTTCATACGCTGTCGGACTGTTTCACAACTTGTTGCTTTCATATTGCATCGTTGTATCCTATCGAGGATGAAGTCACGATGAAACGCGCGGATAATTTTGGGCTACGTATAATCCACCAAAGAGACGGGTGTGGGCGAATCAACCCATCCATTGAGTGCAGTGTTTTGTCCCGTAGGTGAAGCTCGTTCAAGCTGAAAGCCGAAGAGGCACTGTACAGCTAGCTTTTACTTCCTTACTGGGAATCATCAGCAGTTCGCATCTGGTGACACTCCAGAGAGTCTCTAAACCGCGATCTCCTGGCTGGTCCTTGGAACACTTAGCCGATCGACCACGAACGACTGATCAGCAATGCGTTCAGCTCACGTTTAGGCAGCATATAGGGAAATCCATCCCTCAGACAAGAAGAACGTATCGTATGGTTTTGGTTGTTGGCCGGTCCCACGAGAGATGCGCTCAGCGATGGAGTCTTCCCTAATCTTGCGAAAATATTCCTCCTCTGATTCACTTCCAGACCGACTGTATTGTTTTCGGGGTTTTGCTACTTTCGATGATTACTTTCGAACATACTTGCAGTTTCGTAAAATGCAACCTGATGCCCATACAAATCATTGAAACCAATTTAACGACGGAATAATTTGTCATTGTGGACTGTCTTGCTGCTACATGGCTAGTTCAGAGTTTCTTGAAACAGCAGTGTACTTTATCGAGAACGCCAGATGAAAGCCATCCATGTAACGAAGAAAAGAATTCGTTCATGTGAATAAAATGACATTTCTATTAGAAGCCTTTATATATCAGACCGTCATCAATGAACGATATTTGATAAGCCCTTCAGCTAATTCGAAACTTATTGAAACTTCATATCACTCTAGACTACCTAGAAACCCTCCCGGTATTCAACACGAAATAAATAGAACCCAATAAAACAGACCAAAGGTTGGCGGCCTGCATGCAGTGTTATCAGTGATGAACTTTGTTTTCCCATTCCCGACATAGAATCATTATTGAATTTCACTCGTTACTTCAACAGTACACTGAAGGCCAAGCCACGAAATATCAAAGCACAATATTGGGGCACGACAGTACCTATTATGCCCTCGGAACAGACTATCTGTATAAAATGCTTCTCGTATTTGATGTGAACCATAAACAGATCCACGTTGCAGTCAACAATCCGACCGACTGAATCCTTGTTTGATTTGCACTTTTGCCGTGAGCGTCCATCGCCGATACACACCAGGGAATCGACGTCATTCAATCGTCAATTTTGCTCCACACGCGTGAGGATTTTCGTGAGGAACACTGTTCTCAATTTATTTAAACATTTTGCAGTGTTTGACACTTCAAATAAATGCGTGCTTGCAGCCTCAAATTGTTGTTTTTCCGGGCACGATGGGTGTTATTAACATTAGCCTGAGTACATTTGTCATCGCCGATGTCGCTGTTGTCGTTTGAAGGTA